GAGTCACAACTCCAGAGATGGAAGCCAAGATGAGAGGGATCCTGAAACGCCATCGCAGCATCTTCCTGGGAGATGGCAACGCAGCTCCAGACCCGGCTAAGGGCGTAGTCTCTGACATCGACGTTGGAGAAGCAAAACCAGTGGCTTTACGTGCGAGGCAGATTGCCGCACCTTTCTTGGTGAAGGTGTTTGAACTCCTGAAGAAGTTGCTGGAGGCAGAGCTCATTGAGCATTCAGAGTCCGAGTGGTCATCACCTATTGTGATTGTGCTGAAGAAAAACGGCATAGACATCCGGATGTGTATTGACTACCGGCTTCTGAATTTGCTCATTAAGCTATCCCGTTATCCTCTACCTCTGATCGATGACCTACTGGTAGACTTCAAATCCGCGATGTGGTTTATGAGTCTCGACATGGCGAGTGGATTCTGGGCGGTGCGAATGACTGAACGAGCAAAGTTGATCTCTGCGTTCGTCTGCCCGTTCGGCCACTTTCAATGGCTCAGAATGCCTTTTGGATTGAAGAATGCGCCGTTAATTTATCAGAACATCATTAACAACTGTCTGTGGGGATTCGTCCGTCTACCTCCTGAAGAGGAAGCAATGGTTGATCTGGAAGTCCTTGAGTTCCTGGATCCGGAGCCTCAAGAAGCCCTGAAACCTGAAGCGGATATGCGGGACTCAGAGATTCCTTCATTGGACATGAATGTATTCCGACGCAATATTCCGGCTCCGTCACAAATGGGCCCGGTCTGGGGAAGAAGTTCGTATATTGACGATATCGCTCATGGGGCTTCGACCTGGGACCAACTATGTGAGGACCTGGATGCGTTGTTATACAGACTACGATACTGGAATATCTCTGTGAGTTTACCGAAAAGTGAATTCGGAAAGTTGACTATCGCATTCCTTTCTCATGAAGTGAGTGCGGATGGAATCAGAGCCTTGCCGAGGATTGTCAAAGGCATAGAGGACTTACCTTTCCCGTCGACGTACAAGGGCGTGCAGTCCTTCTTAGGAAGTCTGAATTATTACAACAACTTTATTGAAGACTTACCAGTAGTCGCCGCTGTGCTCTATGAACTAGACGAAGAACGTGTACGTGCTGGACGGAACCTGGAAGCCGCAAAGGAGTCTTTCGAGATACTGAAACGTAAGATCGTCCGCTATTGCGACATCCAGACAGAACCAAGCCTTTCGTGATAATTCCGCATGCCAACCCGTGGGCGGCGTGTGCAGTTCTGGGTCAGGAGCATGAAGGACTCATACATCCAGTGCGATTTACTGGCAGGGTGCTGATGGAATCAGAGCTACATTACCACATAGCTGAGAAGGAAGTGCTCGCAATCTTCCGGACTTTGGAAGATTTCAGACCTCGGATCCATGGATCAGAATTCCCAGTTGTGGTGTATACGCGTTACTCTGTGCTAAAGTGGCTACTAGAGTCCAACACTGGAGATGGACGACATCTGGAGTGGGGGCTGGAACTATCAAGATGGACACTGGAAATCCATCGGACTCAGAAAGATGAGGACGGCCTTGCGGCCATCCTGGGGTCTGGTATTACTCCCAGGGAACATTTAGATGAAGTTGCAGAAACCCTGATTCCCGCCAAGGAGCGTCTGAAAGTAACGCCACCGGATGTTGGAAGTAGACTACCAAGGCTACGTTCTGAGTTTTGATGGTGCGGCGAAGGTTTCCACTCGCCGAGGAAGTTGTGGATGCATACTATACTGTGGAAGCTGCCAGGGTGGCAGGTTGTGAAAGCTGAAGGACACATCCTTGAAGGTGTGACGGTCAACGATGCTGAATACCATGGTTTGATTCTGGGATTAAAGCTCGCTATGAAGTATGATCTCAAGGAGTTTGTGGCAGTCGGTGATTCCCGAATCGTCGTCCAAAAGGCTCAGGGTCTGATTAATTGCAACCAGCCCAACCTGCAACGACGCTTAGCTGATTATGAAGATCTCAGGAAGAATTTTGTGTCGGTTAAATTGACTCACGTTAAACGTGAGTTTAACCAAGCGGCCGACTACCTGACCTCTAAGACTCTCGTCCTTGGAGAATCCTGGGAGCTCGATGACCCCTGCATCTATGTCTCGTATCCAGAATCCCTGAAAAGATCATGAAGCCTTCAGAAATCCTGCGACTGATGAGGTTTGTTCAGACCAAGCCAAACTCGGAGTGGATAGTCCTGATGCCGGGATACCAGAGTCTTTAGCTACCGCGGCTGAAGCATTGATGGTGATGACGAGGTCACGTGCGAAAGCGGATGCAAGTTCTCGGACTCCTGTAGACCAGTCTCGATACCAGGATGAACGTTGGAGGAGAATCAAGGTTCACCAAGACGAAGACTTGTGGATCCAGCAAATGAAGAAGGACTTATGGATCCAGCAAATGAAGAAGGTCCTAAAAGGAGACGTGTCAGATCTTCCACAGAACCAGGTAAAGAAGATTGCGAAGGTTTCTGATCAGTTTGTTTGGATTCGCGAGTAGTCCTCTACAGGCTGAGCACACCCACTACTGAGAGACCTCGCAACAAACAGTCAGAACTCAGGCTGGTAGTCCCAGAGACTTTACGTGCAGACATGTTACACTACTCGCACGAAGACTTTCAAGGCGGCCACCAAGGAATCAACAGGACGTTTGAGCGATTACGTTCAGAGTTCCACTGGGTCGGGATGTACGCTGATGTACAGAGTTCGTGAGAGAGTGTGTGGATTGTGCGTCAGCCAAGGCGCGACCACCGGTCCTCGGCCCGTCATCTGGCAATATCGAACCGAGATATCCGTTCGAGGTGGTCGCTATGGATTTTGTCACTGAGCTACCTGAGTCCGATCGTGGAAATACCTACTTGTTGCTGTTCCAAGATCAATTCTCAGGATATGTCATGTGTAAACCCATGCGGAA